TTACTTTCGTGTTTAAATACGCTTCAGCGGTCTCTTTCATCTTCATTAAGATGAACGCGCCAATCTGAGAAGGCGAATACACTTTGCCGTCGCTTGATTGTACCCAAGCGTCTCCATTTGAAGCTTTCACTACTTTGTATGACAAATTCTTTAAATCTTTTTTGATTTCCGGATCATCAAAGCGTCGTCCGATCAAGCGCTTGGTAGCGTAAAAAGTGTTTGCCGCGTTCGTTACTGCTTGTCGTTTGGCGGGCATACCTACCAAACGTTCGCCATCTTTAGTGAAGGCTATATGAGATGGCGTGGTACGTGCACCTTCAGCATTTTCAATTACTTTAGCTTGCTTGCCTTCCATAATAGCAACGCATGAGTTAGTAGTGCCCAAATCAATACCAATGACTGCACCTTTTACTTCGCCAGATCTAATAATAGAGATGTGATACCATTATTAGTATTATAATGTTTCGTCAAATTACATAGAAACAAATAAATATAATTGACAATACGTTTCTAAACCTGTCATCCTTTTCTTTTGTTGCTCTCGGTACCTTTATCGCAATGACATATTAAAAAATAGGACTTCTGAGATGCACTTTGGTCAGTCTCAAATACAGTGCATATTCTTAGCAAAGTTTTTATCTTCTATTTTTACATGTGATATGGATGATGGATGAAATAAATAAAAATATTAAACAGATGTCAAGTGAGTCTCATTTCATTTGATATGCCTTTAATCGTTTTTCCAATTTCTGGAGTGAACTCTTTGCAAGATACAAGCGTAGTTAATGTGCTTTAAAACTGACTTTGAATTTCGTTTTTAATTTACGGCATACGGCGACGAATAAAGGCAGCTTTCTATTGTTTACGATCTATGTATTAAACATTATCAACAAAAAATCGCAGATTTCCACTTACTATTAACGTAAGAAAGAGATGCAATGAGAGATAATACAAAACTGCCTCTCAGCTGTTTAAATTACATTATATAACCTCTAATTCTGCCGGAGCACACAATTGAAAATTTTTAATGTGATGAAATAAGATTTGGACATGATGTTAATGAAACATTGCTGGAATCACCGGATGGATAGATATCTTTAGATAATGCATAGATGACGCAATAAAAGTTAAATGTGCCTAATATTTAGTTTATACTTGCACTGCCGGTAACAAATGCGCGTTTCTTTACATTTCCAATTGCGTAATTTATGTTAAGAATTTATTGTAAAACATATCGTTCATAAAGTTATTAATACATGTGTTCCTATACGTCGTCGTGAACAAGAATTAAATAGGCGAAGTAAGCCACTTACCTCTGACTAAATTGGGCAGACAAAGTATTATTCAAAACAGAGTTTGCTTGCATCAGCTTCTGCGTATGGAAGAGAATTCAAGAAAAGTTTTTTTTAACACTTTTTACAATTTAAGTAAATGCCTTAAGTAAATTGTATAAATTCAGGAAGGAACAGCGACAATCAATTGATTCTTTAGTTGGCTGGTGATATAATTATTGCGGACGTTTTAATACTTACGTTCTCGAAAATGCTAGAACTCCTCCCTCCCAGTAGGTTAGCCTGATGCTGAGTAAGGATACGGGGTAAAAACTTTGGAATACGTAACATATTTTTCTTATTCACAATTTATTGCAGTTAACTAAAAAAGGAGTTTTTTTTTTGTAATTTTATTTAACAGTTAAATTTCGTTTGTAAGAAAAATTTTTTCTCGAATACAGCAAAATGATGTGCACGTTTTTCCTTCACTGACTAATTCTTCGTAAATCTTGCTATGTAAAGGTGTTGCCAGTAGATGAAAATACTTGTATTCGAAAAAGATGTATTACCTTCTTCAAATTGTCAATTTAATTGATATCATAAATTTGGATTGTAGCCAGATTTAGAATTTTCATAATTACGGTTTCGGTTTATTCTGTAATTGAATCTCATTCAATCGTATTCGATAAAGCAATCGAACACTTAATTAACTATCTAGGATAAAGTAAGAGTCATTTCTTTAAACTGTTCATATAGCGTCTTTTATTTATTCCGCGGAATTTATACTTCAAGCTCATTTTATGTTGATAGGCTGTCGATGAGTTAAATAAACTCGCCCATAGATTTCAGTTCATGTATGCATTGATGATTTCTTAGTTACATTAGTTCATATTGAGTTACGCAGAAAGCCTAAGTGAATTTCATATGTATTTGTTTTATCGTATTTTCCACAGCTTACCGATAAATAATGTCAAAGGTACGATCATATGGATAATATTTATGACGCGTCCGAATGGTTGGTAAATAATTAAGACCAACATACAGATTGACCAAATCCTGTTCGGTGAAGTTTAAATGGTTTTGATGAATTAAAGGCAGGCTGGTTGTCGGCCAGAAGCCAAGGTCATGCTATCTCACTCTTGGCTCGAGCTTATTAGAAATCAGGCCGTGATAAGCTTTACTTAAATGTAGCAGCTTTGGGCTTAAAGCCTTTTTGGCTTTATTTGCATTGCAGAGTAAAGAGAACACCTCTTTAATATATTAATCATAGTCACCAAATCCATTAAAAAAGTTGCTTCTATTAAGCTTTCTTAACAAATGGACGATAACTAAAGGCAAAAGAAAAATAAAAACATCCCACCAACTTTTAGCATAGTGAAAATCGAAAATATAGCTTCATGTTGTGTATATGAAAAGCCCACAAGGCTCATAAGATTCAACAAAATGATAAAGGTCCCTTTTTCGAATTCCAGAAAGTATAATTATGGTAATTATGTTTCAAACTTTTTTATTTTGTTTTGCTCTATGAAATTACTGAAATTCAAAAAAGAAAAGAAAACAACAACAAAGAGGAGACATCTATTTTCATACCGAAGTTTTTAAATCATGCTCAGGTCTTTTCATACCAACGTCTTTTAATCACTTAAAAAAAAAAATTATATAGTGTTGTTTGATTCCATTATTCCACTTCTGTTTGGTTTGTGTCCAAAATGCTATAAATGCACATAAAACCGGATATACATATATGCATACATTAAAAAATCAAATTCCGTATATGTTAGGCAGTTTAAATCATGTTTTCAATGTACAAGCGCACGAAATATTTGCTATTAATAATAATGCCATCGACGGAAATTCCTACATTTCCAGTGTAGTTCACAGAAAAATACTGATGACCATGTTTGGCGGTAGGTGTAGTAAGTGCTCGACGGATAAAAGCATAGCTTGCTGATTGGACATAGATCCCTTCGACTCCCTACCCCGTTCTCTATTTCTCTTGCTGACGGTCACTGTATTAGACGTGCACGGGAAATTTTCTGAGTGATTGCTCATATTAAGAAAAAAAGAGTAGGTGAAAAAGGAAGCAACTATGGATGATACTACTACCTTATGCGTACCGAATAGTAAGCATGCAGTTTTAGTGTTTCACATCGTGTTTACTGCTCTACTTAACGGTGACGGTAACTGAGATGAAGTTCAACGATCTGGATGTTAAATTCCTCTCCATTCAATATCTGCTCGTTGATGTTATTCGCGAAGGCTTAGTGATATGCATGTTTCTTATAGCCATCTAAACTACTTTACTTACTCCTCTTTGCTTAGGATTTTCTATGGCAGGAGTGTACATGCTTTGTATGGGAGAGCATTGCTGCTACATAATACTTGCTTTTTCCGCAGGGTGTATATTATGTTTATTGCGTGAAAAAATTTTCTTTAATTATTTAGATATCAAAAATTCTTTTCTTAAATTCAAAATAGGTGGCAAGGACAAAATAGTTTATATTTTTGAGGTTATTTAATAAATATTTTGTTCTCATAAGTGCAAATTCAAAATTTTGTAATAAAAATCCAATAAAGAAATATTTTAATATTCTCTACAATTTCTGAAATCTTTTCAATGCAATATGTCAGACGACACCGATTCCGATACTGAGTTAGAGGAAAATTATTACACATTTCTAAATTTACCCAAAGATGTAAGTATTTTTCAATACCAAGGATGTTGTTTCATCATCTACGTTGATTAGAAAAGTTAGCACACCGTAACCTTAAAGTGATCGATTGATTGTGAATGTTTCTTAGGCTACGGCAGAGCAAATCAATGCCGCTTACCGTAAACTTAGCCGGATTTATCATCCGGACAAGCATATGGAAGGAGAAAATAAGCATAAAGCTGAAATGCTATTTAATCGTACCAAAAAAGCTTATGAAGTGCTGTCCGATCCTCATAAGCGTGCAATTTACGATTCGGTAGGAGAGAAGGGTTTACGCACAGATGGCTGGGAGTTAGTGCATCGTACAAAAACACCGGCCGAAATACGTGAAGAATATCAAAGATTGGCTGAAGCAGCGGAAGACCGTAAATTATTGCAAAGTACCAATCCCCGTGGTAATGTTACAATAAGTGTGAATGCCACGGAGGTGTTTTCGCCATACGACGACAGTGAAATGCCGATTGTGGAAGTCTCCTCCATGAGCATATCACAATCGATCGAAGCTCCTATTACAAGACGAGATACGGTAATAATGAGTGGCAATCTATTATCAACAAATGGTAACGGCTCGGGAGGATTCGTAGTTTGTGGTCGTAGACTACTTAACAAGGGATGGCTGGAACTAGATTTAGGTGCTGGCAATGGTTTACTTATGGCAGCGAAAGGCAAGATAATACATAATTTTGTGACAAATAGTTTCTATATTGTGCACCTTCCTAAATAGGCGGCCGTACTTTGTCTCCAGTTTTATCAGTGACCGGTGGCACTTCGTTAAATTTCAGGGAGCACGGTGTCTTACCTGCTTTATTTTCTACTTTATCTGTACAATTGGACAAACATACAATTGGCTCATTGACTTTGAATGCTAGTTCACAATCAGCCATGACAACGCAAATTGATCGAAGCAATGATAAATGTGCTTGGTCAACATCATTTGTCATTGGGAGTCCGCATATCTATTTTAGCATTGCTTATACGCATAAAATGATTGAGAACGAATTGAAATTGAAGGTGGCTGCTAAAGTAGGCACTTTCGGTTTCTTAGCTGAATACGGAGCCGAAAAAAAGGTATCTAAATATAGCTCTGTATTGGCGGCAGTATCGATCGGTGTGCCAACTGGTGTTATACTCAAGTTCAAGTGAATATAATGTAATCAATGTAAAAACTTACACTTGTTTATAATTATATACTTTTTTTTTTTTTTTTTTTTGTATGACAGAATTGTACGTTCACAGCAGACTTATGTGTTTCCTATACATTTAAGTGAAGATATTGTGCCCGCTGCTGTGTTCTATGCTACGGTAACCCCAGTGATAGTGTGGTTTCTTGTTAAAAAATCCATAATTGATCCGATGCTAGCCGAACGTAAAAATATTGAAAATGAAAAAATTAAACGCAACAATGAACAGCGCATGAATTTACGACGTCAAGAAGCCGCTGCAGCTATAGATCTAATGACACACACATATGAGCGGATTGTTAACGAGGAAATTGAACGTGGAGGTATAATCATAGCACATGCAACCTATGGTTGCTTAGAGAAGAATGGCAATTTCCGTGCAGATGCCTGTATAGATGTTAAAATACCTTTGCAATGTTTAGTAAAAGACGGCAGTCTTATATTGTACAACTCTTCAAAGGCAAGATGAGCATTATTATTATTATTTATCTATTGTAAAGATCGTAACAATTGTTTTTATATTTTTCAGAGTGATCTGCCAGGTTTTTATGATCCTTGCATTGGTGAGAACAAAGTGTTGCGTTTTGAATATCTCTACAATAATCGGCCCAATTTAGTGGAGATTCAAGATGTAGACGGCGTACGACTGCCACGATAACGTCTTTCCATAGAGTTTTGTTTGTTTTTTCTCTTGGATACCGAACCACTTGTTGAAGAGGGCTTAAATTCTTAGTGGCATATGTAAGAAACTCTCCATACCCGTAAACCAAATGTAAAGCAACTGATTTTCTATGTTTTACAATTCTATTAAGAAAATGACGCTGAGTAAATAATAAAAATGCTTTTCACTATAATCGTATGAAATTTATTTTTATTTATTTATTGTTTTTTGTTCGTGTCGTCCTCTGAACATATGTGCATATGTGTTTAATGCTTTACCTTTTTTTGTTTATGCAGAATTGTGCGAAACTGGGCAACTCTAATGACAGACCTCAGCTGCGGTGAATTCATGCAATTAGGTTATTGTTGTTTTCTTGTCATCTCATTTATATTGATTAAGGGCAACAGAAAATTGGCTTTTTTAAGCTCGATCCGGTTAAATGGAGTCTTTTTCAATCTTACTCCAGCAAATTCCAATACTTATGTGCCAGCAAAGTTCTTAATCATCCAATTTGATGCCTGGCAAAATTGAGGATGATTGGTAAAGTTTATGTGACATTACGGATATTATTGTGTGCTATTTGTCTTCTGTTGATTTTGAATGTATTTCTAAATTATTTTGGCGAAAAGACCGACATTCCATCGGCATTTAGCCGTTCAAAGTAAGCAATAAATTGATCAAGTGCAAACTAAACTAAGCAAAGCTTAAACTCACCTTTTTTTCTTAGTTTACGTAAACAACCTTACAAAAGCAATGTGACCGGATTCAATAGTATAAATGAAATCTTGCCTATACCTTCGTTTGCGGGTGCTAATGCAGCGAATGCCAGTGAATCTCTAGAACAAGAAAACAAAAACATAACAGAGGTTACACTGCCTGCGTGTCAGGAGCCTGTTTACGAAGAAAGTAAGTAACTGGATAAATGTCACATAAATAACTGAATAAATAGTTTGCGATTAAGTCGAGTATACAAATTTTTTGAAAATCGCAATGTCGAAGATAAACGTTTGCTATTGTTATTATAGGCAGTCCATTTGTACCTAACATCACTTTAGAATCTTTAGATGTGGTTGAAGAACAATTGGGCCCATTGTTAGAATCTGGCGGTGCGTTTAAACCAAAAGACTGTAATGCAAGGCATCATGTCGCTATTGTGGTGCCGTTTCGCGACCGTTACGCACATCTCTCTATCTTCCTGCGCAATATGCATCCATTTTTAATGAAGCAAAATATAACGTACAGAATCTTTATAATCGAGCAAACTAATGGTCAGTCGTTTAATCGAGCCGCTTTGATGAACGTCGGTTTTCTTGAGGCCATGAAACTTTATCCTTGGGATTGCTTTATATTCCACGATGTGGACTTGCTGCCATTGGACAATAGAAACCTTTACACTTGTCCACGTCAACCCCGACATATGTCGGTGGCTGTTGATGAATTCAATTACAGGTAACATTGAATTGAACATAACTTAAACTTGAATCGAGTATCAATAATATTGAATATAACTCAAGTTTATATATATCTAGCGAATTATCTCAACTTAATCTAAAATTGATTTTAACTATAATTGTGTAGGTTGCCTTATCGCACTATCTTTGGTGGCGTATCTGCCATGACAAGAGAACATTTCGTTTTAGTAAATGGATTTTCGAATTCATTTTTTGGCTGGGGTGCTGAAGACGACGACATGTCCAACCGGTACGTTTTTCTTCCAATTCAGCCGTTAATTTCATTTTATAATTAATTTTTTGTGGCAGATTGCGAAGCGCTAATTTGTTTATAGCTCGTTATCCTATTAATATTGCCCGTTACATAATGCTAAAGCATCCCAAAGAAAAGGCCAATCCCAAAAGGTAAATATGTTCTTTAATTTACTTTATAATGCAATGCCTTTAAAGCTTTTCCGATATTCACTTCATATTTCACCTTAGATACGAGAATTTAGTTAATGGTATGCATAAAATCGGTACTGATGGGTTGAATTCAATTAAATATGAAATCTACAGTTACAAATCGTATCCCACATTTAGTTGGTATTATGCTGAATTGAAGATTACCGAACAAAAGAGTTAGAAATGCATTTGAAAACCAACGTAGTGATCGACGGACTTATACACCTTTGTCGTCGTTGAAAGTCACTATCCTAAATCCAATATCATAACATTTATTTTTGAAAATTTGTGGTGGAACGCGGACGGAAGCGAATCTAAGGGGATTACTTTACTTTACATATACACAAACATTTATAGATCTATTGATTGAAAAATTTATAAGTGCATGCATTGATAGTTGGCTTCCAAAATCGCGTTAGTTTCAATTCCCTTATTTTTTGAAAATTAGTTTTTATATTACTTTTTTACATCACTTTTTTTTTATTCTCGAATACTATCAGCATTTTTCGAACAAGTAAGCATATTTTGTATATAAGTGATTACAATCGTAGTGTAGGTAAACATATATTTCTCTCTCTTCAAAAAAATATATATATATATTTATTTCACCTTAAGAATTCTCACTTTGGCTCTTCTATTTACCTTTACAACTTTATCCAAATTTTATAAGAATATCTCGAACAATTCTTTCTTCCCCTTTTTTAATTCTTATATTGTTATAAATAATAACAGCAATATATTGCTTTCAAAGATATGTCGAATATAAAATCGAAAACTAATTAAATTTTTTGTGATATACGTGCATACATCAATATATATATAACATATATATTATGATATTGTTATTGTAATAATAAAAAAAGTTTATATACATATATATATATACATAAAAGCAATCATTGCAATATTACATTTATTAAAAGGATAACCTATATATATATATATATATATATATATATATGTAGACATTTAAAGAAAAATTAAAAAATGTAGTAAAATTTATCTATAGTAGAAATTGTAAATATATAAATTTTTCATTAAATTAAATAAATATTAAAAAACTTTTGCTAAAAAGGTAAACAATTCTTTCATATAAAACAATGAAGGAAATCTCAATAAGCTATGAGGAGAAGAGAAAGAAATTATTATCTATTTCAGGCGATAGTTTTTTTTCTTTTTAACTTGATTCATATATTATATCATATTAGTCAAGTCTCCTCGCTTTCAATTGCCAAAAAACTCCCGCTAATCTAAGGTTTATGAAAGTCGCTATTGACCGATTGAGACAAGAAAAATTGACAAAGCGTTTTATTCTCTCGCTTATTCAAAATTTTAACACGTCTACAAATTGCTTGCTCCCTTTCAACTTTTAACGGTGGACAATGTTCCAACATCTCGGCCCTAAGTCATACTAAAACATATTCCGAATTAGTTCGTATTTTAATAAAACAAATTTTTTTATTTAATAATTAATTTTCATTATTAATTATTTCAATATAATCGCCTTTATTATCTTCATTAGCATAAACATAAAGATTGGATGATGACGACGATGTCGGCAGTACCTTGTTCACTTTTTTGTGATAATACAATTTTTTTTTGTTTTTTGATTCTGGATTCATCATAGCAATCATTAAATTTATCGCCATTATTTTTTCACAAGTACAAGCTACGACTCGGCTGCGACTAATGCAACAAAAAACAATGAAGTGCTGACCGGCGAAATGGAGGTTATAGACTTATGGTTTCTCGCAAAAATCCAATGACTTGACGAATCCCAAGTAACAAGTGGCTCCTTAGTCCTTTAACTAATAATTAAACATATGATTACTTAATTCTTGTACTGATACTTATTTCCAAATTTGGCAATTCGTCTTTTTATCTTTGGCACTGCTTAGTTTCAGACTTCTTTTAAGCTCTAATCACGTTTGTCTCTTTTCCGTTGTATGTTGACTTCTAGCTTGCTAGCTTGACAGGATATGAATTAAATCTGTATAAAGCATTCTGAGTCTTGTGACTTTATAAGCCCGCAATTAATAGACATGGCAACACTATAATTCAAGAATCTAAAAATTTGCCAGTATTATGAATATTATGTAAAGTATGCAGATGTAATGCGAATTTCAAGAGCCGGCCGTTTAAACTCTATTTCGAAAATTTATAAGTCGCCTTTTTTCATTGCTTTAGTTGTTGAACTCGATGGTCATCTCTTTTTATAAAGTTATATATGTATATATAACTGCACCGGCTTAGCCGGTTATATTAATTACATATTAATAATACTTGAGAATCTCAGTATTTACATGTAACAATAATTAAGTGTTAAAATATTCGCTTATTTCGCTATTAGCCAATTTGTGTTATAAATACTCTTAAATACTACAACTACCGACTTTTTGCATACATCCATTATCATTTTGATGGCCTATTTTTGTCGACTTGCCACAGTGGTAAAAATACTGAAATTGTTCATAATCATTTCTTGATCAGTTAAGAATTGAATGCTAAAAAAATGGTTGCGATCTGCCTATGTGCACGCCTACCATAAATAAGGCACTAAAACAACCATAATTGTTTCATATATTCGTTTCTAACCTTTGATCCTATGAAGATGTTTCGGAAAACTTCCTAACTAAATTTTCATCAAATCTACCTGTGTGTTTGGTCACTATCGCTTTACTAATACGCCCAAAATTAGCGACAACATTTTAATTCCCATTTAATTCCAATAATTTTCAAATTGCAAGTCAATTTTACTGCAAACTGTGTCCGTATTAATATACTGGTCGGGACTATTTTCGAATTGAAGATGAAGGTGATCCTAATGAACATTTGGATCACAGGTTTCAGAAACATCTTAATAGAATTGAGAGATATAGACAAAGATATGAAGAAGATGTTGGGATTTTCCCGAGATTGTTCGGTTTCTTTCGTATTATAGATGTGCACATAAACGGGCGACTCAGAATTTTTAATCTTACATTCCTAATCGATCAAATGTCAAATTTCAGTTTCCTATCTACCTATTTCTTTTATATGTGGCAAATCGACATTAATAAGAAATCGAAATAGTTCCTTATGGTAGAAATAGATATGTTTCTCCGTCATCTCAAAAAGTGTAATAGGTAGAAAAAAGATGATTATGAGTATTTAAAGGTCTTTTCATATAAATAAAAGTCGCGAAAACATTTTGAAATATTACATGCCTTATATCTGCTTTTTTGAAGAGAGAAAATTAAAAACGATCAAAATGAGGTACTCGGTAGCTGTAGCGTTAGGCGGCAATCTATTTAAATGGTTTTGTTTTTTCTCTGAAATTGACTCAAAAGCGTAAAAAAACTTATTTTTTTAAATTAAAAGTGGAATTTAAGGTGTTTATTATACTTTATTCGTTCTGTGTATTTCTTGCCTATAGTTTCATTTGACATTCGTTGAAATTATAAAAATGGGGGTAATTACGTGGCCTAAAATTAAATTTTGCATTGGCCGTTATATATAGCAGCTGAATGCAAAAGCGAAAGCTAAGTTGTTATGCGCGATCATCCCCCAAACCTCACTACAATTAAATACATAAATTATTTTTATTTTGATTGCCTTATTCTTCTTCCTTTTTATCTTGATTGCTACGCTTTCTTTGATGCTGGATTTGCTTACTTCGTAGGTAATCACGTATACAATACGTAGCTTCCGTTTTCAGCAGAGGCGAAAAGGGGCTAGCACAATGCTGCGTTAACTCGTTTTTTATGTTAAAAATTTCCAAATGATACAAAATGGAAAGCCAATAAGAAAGAGTAAGGAAATCGATGTAAAGGTAAAAAAAACATACAGTCCGGAAATTAGGAAGGAAATATAGAAATCGATCTAAAAGTGAAAAATAAATATATGAAAAGCGACGATACAAAAGTCAATGTAGAACCAAATTAAATTTTTGAATGATTGTTGAAACAAAGAATGAAGAAAATGAGTTTTAAAAGAGTAATGTGGAGGAGGAGTTTACCGACAGTTAAATAAAGCAGTTGACATGCCAATTCCCACTAAATCTTGTAAAATGTCGAAAAACTGTAGTCGCATCTCGAAAATAGGAATAACGCATCATTGTGTTGTCCTTAAAAAGTAGTAGAAGGATAATGTGAAATATTGGTAGCAAATTGTTGTTAATAATAAAAAAGAAAAGGTGTAAAACCATCTTTTCATTTTGCAATGAAAAATGAAGACAACGGATTTTTTCGCTTATAAAGCTGCATTTAACAGATTCCTTCAGTTAAAAAGCTGGCGGCTTTACAAATTAAACGGATCTGGCCCTTTAAGTTGTTAGTTGGGCATCCAACCATTTAACAGAGCTGCAATTTTTGACAATTTTTTTATTTATTATAAGCGATTCTGTGCTTTGCCTTTTAACAGGGAATTTAGCGAGGGCTTTGTTTAATTTGATAATAAAAATTATGGCGGTCTACTTTTAGGCTAACTTGTAAAATTAAATAAGTTTAGTTTGTGTATTTTCGGTATTTGCTAGTAGACGAAGGCAAATGGCAAAAATAATTGGCTGGCATAGCATTAGATGCGTATTTATTATTACCCAAATTATATTGAGCGCGCGAAAAATATGGCTTGGAAAATTTTGTAAAAGCCGAACTAAATACTTCAGCTGAAAAGGAATTAACTTTGTAAGTATGCAACTTATTATAAGTATGCCGGCAACGCTTGTGTGATCGGTTGTATTGTTCAATAACTTTGAAAAATTTAGAATTCAATAACCGATAATAACAAAATATGAATAAATAAATAAATAAATAGTAGCAAAAAAGAAAAAAGAAAAAAAAAAAAAACAGTGTAAGCAGAGAAAGCAAAAGTTCTAGTGTGTTCCTTATTCACGTTTGAAAATTACAAACAAAAAGAAAGGCAAACAAATTTCAACTGCAGTCATGGTTATATGAAAACTATGTTAAAAATTTTCCAACATATATGCACAAATAAATATTTATGTATACATATATATTAATATATATATATGTGCGTGTTTGTGTATATCATATATAGTTATTTGCTTCTTTTGGTTTGCGGCTATAGAAGTGTGTATGAATATATATTTAGTTATATATAATGTATGTAGACCTCCAGTGCACAAGTATGTGTATCATAAACATTTATCAAATTCGATGTTCACCTCGTGTAGGTGTAAAATTGAAAGCAACTGTCGCTTGACAAATATTCCGCATGCCCTATAATCACTAGTTATATAGTATATTCCCTGTATATATATATGAAATGTTATGTGATGTGCATAAAGTGGCTAGTAACTAAGACTGTACAAGTAATATAATAATATTAATAATAATACTGTACCCGTAGCTGCACAGCCGCATATATCACGACCCAACATAGCGATTGGTGTGTATACAAGGAAAAATTAATATTTGAATTACTGCTATTATTATTATTATATGTATATTAAATAAATAAAGCATCATTGCTATTTTAACACAGGCTTTCGTTTTACGTGCGTAGTTTGACTTGACACATAAACGGCGAAATGGAAAAGTGTTTACTTTGTTTGGAAACCGACTTGGAATTTGAGCCAAACATCAAGGTGGACTCAACACATTGGGCAGAATTAAATATAAAGAATAGTATAGAAAAACATTTATGGCCGATAGTAAGTGTATCAGTATATATACGTGACAAGACCTAATCGGATTGGAAAATCTTTTCGCATCTTAATTTCTACAGAACAATGGATATGTCATACTTGTTGGAAAGAGTTACATGGTTTTCATAAGTTCTACACACGACTGGGAACTGAAACGGCTAGTGTAAGTCTACTTAATGTTAACTCAGAAAATATAAAATTGGAGATATCGTGTAATGGATCACCCATACTAGCACCTCCGCCAGCGGAACAAACTGAGCAAATGGTCTCCGAAACTAAAGAAATTGATAAAGAAGCTTTGTTTGAAGATAGCTTAGAAACGGAAATCTTAATAAACCCATCAATACCTACTTGTGAATTAATTATTGAAGAAAATAAATTATCTATTGATGAAACTTTGTCGGATACTGAACCGATTGTGCAAAAGAAGCGTAGGGATCGACCACGCAAGCAGCAAGATGCGGAAAGCTGTCTACCGAATACAAGAAAAAAAGTAAAAATATTAAAACGCCAAGGTGTAAAAGGAAAGCAAAAAGATAATATTCCTTCCCGCATAACGTCTGGTAAAACTATTGCAGGATCTGATAAGGCTCTTGAGATAAAGCCAGAAACTGACAGCTTGATGTTATAATGTCTACGATGGAAAAGTTTTTGTTGATTCTGCGCAAAATTTTGTGCCTTACCAAATATGGAATAGCGGGCTACTTTACATCTATTACTTACGTGAAAGGTAAAAGTGATGTTGAAGTAAAAAAAAAAAAATTTTTAACTGCGTATGGGGCGCACTGGTGCCAACAGTGATTTGCAAAATTTCGTTTTGGCACTTTTGCATCAAGTTCTTGAAAGTCTGTAGGAACTGCTCGCGTCCATCAGGCTGCAGTCGTTTCAACCATCTCTTTCTCCTTCCTCTTACTACACGGATGGACGACACACCTTGAGTGATGAGATAATACAAAAACATGGAATATCTCTTTGTGAAGTAGCCGATACCACAAGTATACAAGTACTTATCTTCCAGAAAAAACTAAACTAATAATCTCAAGGTCCATTCCATCGTTTCATTAAGGGTTATTGTCTAGTATGTAATGCGGCACTCGGTATGAGCATGAACAAGAACTTATGCGCGTTACTTTTTTTTCTTTATAAAACGATAAAACTAAACTCTCTAGTAATTAATGAATATATTGTTTATTCAGAAACCGGTTGGCGGCAAAAGATATAAGTTTGTTGTTGTTGTTTTTTTTTTTTTTTTTTTTCTGTTAGAAACGCTTTTGCGTTATTTTGTTTATTAATAAAGATTTATTTAATTTTTTTTTTTTTTGTTTTAGTTATGATTACATTTACTTCGCTTGTTTTTACAGTTAAAATAAAAAGGCACTTTGAATTGACTTAATGGCCAGATACAAATAAATTTTTATAATATTTATAGTTATTCTTTAATTTGCATTAATAGATAATAATTGATAAAAATAAGTATTCAGTATATTCGATATGTGACGTTATGCTCTTTTTTTTTATATAGACTGGCATTGAAGCAAAACTAAACTAAAAGTTTTCCTAATGTTTTAGATAAGAGAGAAAAAAAAAAAAAAAAAAAAAAAAAAAAAAAATCTATTTTTATTCTGCTGTTTACAAATCAATGTGTGTATAATAAAAAAATAATTTAATTTTTTTTTTTTTTTTTTTTTTTTTTTTTTTTTTTGTAAATCACTATTAACTTTAAAATATAATATATAATTGAGCTGCATATTGATGCAAACTAATTGCATTGAAAACGTTAACAAATAGTAGAAAGAGAGAGAGAGAGAGAAAAAAAAAAGAAAACAAACACTGACCAGTTATTTATTTACATACAATTATTAAAAGTTTATGAGCGACTAAACACATACGTTGATTAGTTAAATAACAATATAACTCATTAGCTAAATACGAGTTTGTGTGTATGGTTTTTTTAACAAAAAAAAAAAAAAAAAAGCTACCAGAACAATTTGCAAAATATTTATTGAACCATTAATTACATGATTGTACAGGGCATGGCACAACAGAGAGGCAAGCAAACCGGCACCATAGCAGCACCAGATTTTGTTTTCGTTTTCGATTTGTAGCCCGATTCGTACTCGTACATACCTGACGCTTTAGCCCAGCGACCCTAAAATTGAATTTTTATTGAACGATATTGCGGTTCGTTTAAAAGCAGCACATCATCTACTACTACTTACACCTCCCGCTGAACCAGCTGCCATTTCTTCGCGCTTAGTTAACATCATTTCATGACCCGGCGGATAGTAAACTTCTTTACCCGCTCTATTAACCGATGGTATTATTTGTTGCTGATTGGATGTGGCAACTGCCGTTTCAATTTCCCGTTTACGTGGCGTAGATAAATCAGCTTTGTCCACCACATCCACTTGCTAAAGTGTATAACAAACGTAACATAATCAGATAAGAAAAGTCATTGTCATCTTAGGCGAAATTTCTATCTTCAGCGTTAATGGTATATGTATGGGTATGGGTCTGCTATTTACAGTTAATACGGTGGGTGTGACGGATTGTGTTTCTGTTAAATTCTCGATCGATATTTAATATAATGTTAATTGCGAAAATTTCCGTAAGAGAAATTGGAAAACAAGTTTATAAGTAAAAAATCAAAGGGAAACACTATAGCGTCGCGCGGCGCGCGTCGCGATAATAAATACCCTACACCACTTTGTTTAATGTAGTTATGCCTACAACGACCTATCAAAAAAAGTTTCGAAGGTGCTCAAGTCGGGAAAAGGGGCTTATTATACTCTACACCAGTTGGGTGTACAAGGCTATATCAAAGTATGTGCGGATGTATGCAATATTTAGAAGGACGTGAGATAGACCCACCTTTTAATATACCGATCGATACAGAAAGTGAGTCGGATCTTTTTGCAGAGAGGGAGACTTGCAAAAGTGTGCTCGCCATTCTTCAACATTTCCCTTGTTTGATAAACAAAAAAAAAAAAAGACTGGCCAAGTATAACTTTTTTTGGGAATTGGGAATTGGGAACTGATAAAGCTACTTAAACAGGTCCTAGTGAGCAGGGTACAGGTTCCAACAGTTCGACGAACAACTATTGCCTTCAAATTGTAAAAGAAATATCTTTTAATGTAATTTTTACCAATGTTGGTCCTATGGTTCTTATGGGTTAAATCCCCTTTTTTTCATTTTCGTCTCGACTTTAAATGCAGTTGGCTGCGTAATTTTATTTTCTGCTTTATTGACGCCTTTCTATGTTAAAGAGTCTTGTGTCAGGTACGCTAACACGAAACTGGAATTTTTGTGTAGAAAATACATTCTTACTGCACGAAAATGGAGAAAGATATTTGATTCGAAGTATTGCCCATTGTTAAGTATACAATTTCCCCAATTGTCTGACGATTTCTGCATGCTACGCTTTTAAAAATCTTCCCCTTTAGTCGCGAAGTCGTCATCGACTCACTTTTTCTTCTTAGGAACCATAGCACCGCTTAGAAAATGCGTGACCTATCGATGCAAACGAAGGATAGTCGGAAGGACTCGAGCCATATGCACTGCAATTTCCTAATTGTTTGCTTTCAACGTGTCGCGAAACTGGATTTGCCATATGGACGGACGGGCGGACGGACGACATATAAAAAGGATCCTTCGTGTTCATTTTGCTGACATTCATTTGCGTGCTATGAAAATTCCTTCTGGTTCCACCAAACGCGGTGTATCGTCTTTCTGGATTTCATAAACCAAGTCCACTTTTTATCCCAAGTAACGGTACGATGTAAAAAGGACTTAGAAAGGAAGAAGTCATGCTGTCGTCGAACATCATGACTGTTTTCAATGCACGCCCCGGCATTTTCAATACTGTTCCATGAAAACTTGTGATTTGTTGTGTTTTGCAAAATCTCTGAGATCAACAAGAAAATGATGCTATTGGCGAAGTTTGCCAGTGTGGCCATCTATGGATAAATTTCCTTTCCAAAAATACATTCCCCGGTAAATTCTGTATAAATGCTTAAACAGACTTTTCAATTAGCACAGTCGATCTTGAGTCAAAGGTAATAAGTCGTCTGCTCGTCGTCGGACTATGTTCCTTAAATAGGTTCTAAATTTTCATCATACTTCATTTAAGTTGAGAAATCGAACTGTTTTTTGGAAAGGTTTCAGATTTCAACGAGTCTCCGTTTTAATTCAAAATTCCGATAATATCCCTAAATTTCTTTTTTAAAGATTTTTTTGTATTCTCTGTGCACTATCTTCTCGGAAAACAGTGGTTCAAAATTTATTCGGAATATAATGTACTTACGTTTCCCAACGATTGCATTAAATCCTCTACACGTTGCGGTGGGTTAGCATTGCCCACAGGGTATTCGACCCCATCTAAGGGAAACGGTGCTGGCGGTAAAGTTGGCGAAGGAGTACCATAATCAGGAGCGCGACGTGTATTTGTCGTCGTTGACGAGTATTTATAGGTAACATTAGGTGGATTAATTGTTGGCGGGTAACCTCCAGCATTAGGTAAACCGGGCGTGCCGGCTCGTTTAGGGCCCAACAAAGGTTCGTGAGTAGGTCCAGTCGGACTATGTATATTATTTACAGTATTCGTGGTCTCCTTGTATATGTAACGCTGCGTGGTCGGACCGTGAGAACTGCGTGGACTATGTGGTCCCGCATAGGGAGGAATATTGGGTCCTTGATTGGGACTATGCGGATAATTAGAACGATCCCGGGTGGTGGTGGTAGTAGTGCTGTTATTAATATTATACACGATCGTAGTATCACCAGGCGGTGGATTTCTTAAATGTGTTGCCGGTGCCGGGGGCAATGCATTCGTACTGCGCATTGTATTCGTTTCGTAGTGCTCGCGTGACTCATAGCTTTGATTTGAGAAAATCGGCTTCTCCTGACCCTTATGCAAAGTTGAATAACTTTCCGTATTATAAACGACAGTCGGCGGTATGACATGAGCAGGATGCGCCTGTACCATGCTATTCATTTCGTTCGTTTGCATATTATTATATATTAAGTTTTTGCGTGTTAAAGTATTGGTTGTCGGAGCATTGGCTGGTATCTCATAAGTATAAGTTCGGACTGTCGTTGTTACCTTAGTACCCGGTACGGGTAGAATGTCTTCCGTTAAAGCAATACTTTCCAAATCTTTTTCCATTTGCGCAGTACTGGCGGTGGCAGTAGTAGTAGCATTAGCTGGAATTATTTCCATGGGTCGATTTAGTGAACGATTACTTTCATAAATTTGCGTTTTCTTGCCTTCGTAAAAGCCACCGGGAGAGATGTTTCCTTTAAAAAAAATTTTTTTACATGAAATTGAAATGAATTTAAAAGAAAAATTTTGTCTTGGCGAGAATAGAAAGAAGTCTTACTTGAATTGTAGGATTTATCTAAAGTTTGATAGTCGTTGCTTTGCACCAAAGAGCCATTCGATCTCAGTGTACTATAATTGGAGGTAGGCAATAATTCCGCGTCATCCAGTGTTGGTTGGACATTGCTGGTCTTTATAACTCTGGTCGACTTTGTAACAGTGCCAGCTACGGGATCCTCATAAGACGAACGTTCTCTGAAATCGCGATCGAAGCTTTACTTAAAAAGTTACAAACATTTTTTTTTCTTTATCACACTTACAAAGTTCTGTAATTGAGAGAGTGATCTGTTCGAGAGCATTTGGATTTGAATTTGAATTAATAAAAATTTTTTTTTGAATATATTAAGAAATTTCCAATCACCTCTTTCTCTGGTAATTTGACGTTCATTTTTCAAATCCTCAAGCAAAGCATCCAATTGATCAATATTTTTATCGACCGACTTATCCAAATACGCATTACTGCTGCCGGCCGAGCCAGCTGAGGAATATTGATATGATGCCGTTTTATATGCATAACCTTTGCTTTCCTGGTATTATTATTATTATTATTATTATTATTATTCAATGACGATATGATGATGTAATAATGAAAACAATTATTATATGATTTAGATATATATGTAAATAAATTTTTATTAAATTTGAAGTATTATTGAGAAATGATTTTTGTATACCTTGCCACTTGACCATTTCGAGGGTGAATCTCTTAATGAAGATGAATAGTTTTCCGAGCGACTGCTGTATTGCATGTTAATGCTTCAATTTCGATTTACTTTGGAATTCTCCTTTAAGAAAACAAACACAAATATACATTAATACATTATTTAAATACATTTTCATATGCACGTATATATATATATGTTAACAAGTTATTTATTTGCACTTGATTTATATATAAATTCTGACAAAATAACCCGCACATGCGGTACGTCATACTTTTTTTTTTGTTTGTGTGACGGGTTGTTTTATTTCAAGGAATCCCGGTTTATGTGCGCTGTGAATGCGCTTGTTTTGCGTATGTATGCGTGTTTTGAATGCCAAAAATTACACATTGTTTACCTTTTGGAGATTTTTCATTAATATTCCGCTTACCTTGGCTATTCTCACCGATATGAACTCATGCTCATGTAAACATTAACACATACCGGTCATGGCCTTTTAAGAGGAAATTATTTTGTTCTTTTTCGGGACTTAGCGATATATAGCTTGGCGATTTCGAATTTTTTTTTTTTTTTTTTTTTTTTTTTTTTTTTTTATTTATACCTTATGTTACTTGTGCTACAAGTATATACTAAGTTTGTCCGAGAAGAGCACTTGAGACAGATTCATCTTTTATTATACCGATCGAGAAGGTCTGTCAGCCCCGTTTGGTTGTGTTCAATCTACAGGCCGTGGATCTTAAGATATTTTAAGAAAATTTGGTAGACTGACATGGTCTGGCCCAAGAAAATAGCTCGGATCGTATCATTTTTTCGGCCACTTCCCATATGACGCCATATTGTAAAAAGTCGATGTAAGTCGATGTTGTAGGGTGATGTAGGGTACCTAATGGCCGGCCATGTCCCACTATAATTTTTTAAAAACTGTATTTTTTTTGAAATAAATGAAGCTGTGCTTGCAGAGAACCACGCCAGCAGAGGCATAGAATCATCGAAGGATTGGCTGAAATTGCTTTTCATTGAAAGTCCTATGCTATCAAAAAATGTTTAAACAAAATAATTCGAAACAGTAGCTTCGATATGTGCATCTCATCGAGCTATGCCCGTCAGATTTTGAATGGGATTTCTAAATCATTCTTGGCACTGCACTAAGGTTATGCTCAAAACCTACAAGGACAGCATTGTAAATACTAAGGTCTTTAAGCCTTGTAGTCCTACAAGACTTTCTTTCGAGACTTAACTTTCGGAATTTTAAGCAAACTTTTCAAAAAGTTTTCTTTACTTTATGAACTTGAATAAGTGGCGATCTTATGATCTCCTTGCGTCTCAGTTTGGATAGTGAACGTCTTAACAGAGGCAGCGATATATATATCGAAGCTTCAATCAAAAATATTTATTAACTTTTACACCGATATCTGCAACAGTTGGTCGTTTGTTGATCATAGTAAGGTAATTAGGAGGCGGAGTAGAACCATCTTTATGCATTTATGTCTTCTTCTTCTTTCCAATGATGGAAGTTCCAAGAATGGATGGTAGATGGGCTCTCGTCTTGAAAAAGTGTCCTTTAATCTGAAAACGCCTGCTTTGGAATCTCTAAACACGCGCTAGGGGAAAAGGCCCAAGCAACTAACCAGAAGGCCAAAATTTGTACATGTTTACAACTACTGTCGAAGTACAGCGGTGCGTTAAGCTTGTGTATCCCTTCGTGTATGATGGCGTAATTGATTTCATCTAAGAAGCTAAGAAACACATATCACTAAAACATCTGCGTTCATGGCCAATATTTTGAGGCGATTGCCTTATGACTGCGCGTCTTTAGGAACGTTTGCCCTGCTGTTGTCGACTGTTGTCAGATTCAGTTGACATTTCGCTTATGTTTTAAGCACTAACCTAAAACTTGGAATAATTATTGAGTGAGATGCACGCGCAGACAGACAGGAAAGTTGTTTACGACAAATGCATAAATATTTCCTAAAACCAACGAAAAATTCTAAACGAACAAAGCCGTATACCTTTCCTTCTATGTACATATGGATATAAACTCTGACGTATCAGTGAGTGATTCGTATATAGCGTTCTCGAGAGCGTTCGGTATGCGAACTCCATCCGAAGGCTTATTTCATTCTTTTGCTTGTTTTTCTTTTTGTTCGCTTTTTCAAATTTCAGTTTAACCGCACAAAAAGAAAGAAAAAAATTTACAAATAATTTTCAAGGTTAATAAAAAAAAAAAAAAAAGAAGAAAAGCAATTTTTTTTCATTTCAATTTACGAAGAAAGCTTTTTTGTCATTGTTGTGTTGATGTCACTTAAGACGAATAAAAGATAAATTCCTTTAGCCACCCGCCACATCACACAAATGCACAAATAATTTAAAACGCAATTGTTGTTGGAATAATAATAATAATAATAATAATAATGAGAATCTACACTAGATTGCAGATGCAGTACAAAAGATTTCCTTAGTCAATAAATGATATTTAAAAATTTAATTTTTATTTATTCATTTATTCACTTATTTATTTATTTTATTTTATTTATTTATTTTTTTTTTTTTTGGTATATAAACTGAATTAAATAATTAATATTTTTGTATGTAAATTGTGAATAGTTTATTTTATTTGATTGACTGAGCATATTATGTGCGTGCATCTCCATCAATACCATAAACAGAAAGTATATTATGGAAGCAAATAACTCTTTGAATTAATTAAATCTGATCTAATATGCTGATGACCGTATTTGCCCCTGAATATAACGATAATTATTATTTTATATGAATGCCTATAATTGAACGGTACAAAAACAAAAAAGCAAATAACGCTTATACATATAAAAATACATAAAAGCTTAATGCACATACATATGTATATGTATATGTATATGTATATACATGTACATGTATGCTCTATTAAAAATTTACGATGGGTCTGTCTTTTCGGTTGCAAACAAGCAAAAGCGAACAAAACAGAAGGCTTGCTATATATCTTATAAAGTATTTCCAATAAGTAGAAGCAATACAGCGTGCCACGTTCCACCATTAAGAACCATATATCACATCGCACATATAATGCCATTGTATGGTAACCGGCCGCGAATGTGATCAACAGCGTTCATCCTTGCGACGAACCACGTCAATGCAGTAAATTTCATCAAAATATGCACCGGACGGACAAACGGACAGACAGAAGCTTAGATCGATGTAATAAAAGTTGCTTCTATCGCACAAGCTATAAAAATTAATAAATGTAAGATTTATTCAATAGCAGTATGTCCGACCATCCGTCCATTTAATGCCAATTGCAATAAGTGCGATAAATAAAATCCCAGATAATGATTACAAGTTAAGTTTCAACGGGGAAGTGATCCCTGGGAAGAGAAATGTCTAGCATAAAACACAAAGCGCAACAAAGGGCAACAAGGGGCCAACCTAGAAAGAACACGCAAAAATAGAAAAAACACGATTTACAATATAGCGGATAAAACTTCGTTACTTGCTTTCATTTTATGATTTTTTTAAATTAATATTCGATCTCTATATACCGTAATGCGTTTCACATTGTTTACATATGCGAGTATCAATGTGTGCTCCGTAGCAGTTTTGAACATATGGCCTGAGATGAGATGTGGCGTTTCGTATAAATACATCTATCTATATCTATATATATATATATTTATTTATTTATTTTGCTCTATGTTCCGCATAAATTTAGTTCGTTGTCATATAGACAAAAAAAATTTTTTTTTTTTTTACGATTAAATATATATGAAAAAAGAAGCTAATAAATGAATTCATCATTTAAAATGAATAAAAAAAAAAAATGAAAAAAAAATAAGTGTACATAAAGATGTATTCTACTATGTACAAGCGAGACCGTATAGGTAAATAGTCGAACAGTCAAGTGTATTTTGAAGGCGCTTATGAAATAGTATTAGATAAGCATTTTGAATATATTAGTTTGGGGAAAAAGAAATCCATTATTTTTATATAAACTTCAGGACTTTATTTAACATGCTTCGGATTGTACAGCATGTAAATGTACAGTATCGGAAATTATTTGATCGATACTTTACGAGAAATCTATCAGTGCAGCCATCTACCGAAAAAATAATGGATTTCTTTTTCCCCAAACTAATATATTTGCAAGCATGTCCCCTGTATACATATCATCTGTACATTTATACGTGCGTATGTATATATATATATATATATATATATATATATAAAATAAATTTTGATTAAAATTTGACTTAAGGTGACAAGTGATAATTATAAAATATACATTTTTATCACTTCAAAGAAGATGAATGTTGTGACACATTTTTTAATAAAACAAAAATATTAATATAATAAATAATTTCAAATCGCTAGAGCAGCAAATTACAAGGCACAAAATATATGGTGTTCCACGGCTTGTTATACCCATCATCGAAGTTTGAGGGGTATATTCATTTTGTCAAAACGTTTGCAACGCCCAGAAGGAAGCATCGAAAATCTCCAATATATATATATATATTTATATATTCCTGATCAGTATCAAATTCTAAATCCATGTAAGCTTGCCCGCCTGTCCGTCTATCCGTCTATGTAATGTCCGTTGTAAACATTCTCCTGGCCGCAAAAATGAAGCTATCGACTTCAAATTTGACAGAAACATTGGAAGATCTTGCATGCAGTTTGGTATTGAAAATAACCTAAATTAGTTGAACGACTCGCCTACAGCACCACGTAAACTGACAACAGTTCTGTTTTCCGAAGCGAATGAAAAATTGATTTGTTTGTTGCTCATTACTTATAAATTATAGCAAATAATTGTACAAAAATTTGAACGCTATGGGCAATGTTGTAACATCGGTGCACAAAAATGGGAAGAATTGACCAGTCATACCCAATATTATTGTGTATCAAAATTTAATTATTGTTTCAATACATTAATAACACCCAGAATCAAGCTTCAAAAGCCCCATAAAATATATAAACACTTGAATGCACCTAAACATGTCTGTCCCTCTGTCCATCTCTCCGTTTTCATTCACCCGTTAGCGAAATTGAAGATATCGCCTAAAAGTTTGCAAAAGAGTTTGCCGAGCGACTTAAGCTTTTCAAAGGACATTCCTGGAACGCCCACA